AGGGTTGGCTGAACATCAGTGACAACAAATATTCTGGCACTAGCACAGGACGGCTGAAGGCACTCAGACGTAGTACAGAGGAAAGCATGCTGTCATTGCTTTGGAAAAGATCAAACTTCCCCCTTGGTCAGTAAGTTGCAGATGGCAGCATATGTGTTAGCAGGTGGGGAAGCTGCTTACTCCTTTTGGCTCTTACTCCTCATCCGCTTGGATAGTGCTGTGCTGCCTGGTGTCCATCCTATATCCTAGTTTGAACATTAGTTGAAACAAAGCCCTTCACTTACACAAGGGATAAGGATGAAGAGTCTCTTCATGTCTTGTTTTCTCTCTGCATCTTTGCTGAGCGCTGGTCAGGTTTGTTCCTAAAGATTTGTCATTAAATTACAAATCTCGAACAGCTGGGAAGACAGCAATTTCTTTCAGCAATCAAAAAATCACATCTCATCAAGAAACCAAATGGAAAGGCATTGAAGGAGTCCTTAGAAACAAAACCTAATTCTGAAGAAGCAGAGACCAGCTGGTGTTGGGATCTACAACCTGATATTCTTCTACCATCCACCCCTTCTGTGCCACTGTTGTCTGCTTTAAATGAAAGATTAACTTTTGAAAGCTATTTCTTTGCCAAATCTGGGCATATTCCTGTAGTTTTTAGGGCTTTTTAGGGTTTGTATCTCCTTTACACTTTCCACCTGTAATCAAAACCCTCTTTTGTTCTCTTTCCTGCACAAAGCAAACCTGGAAAAGCACCTCAGCTTCTGCTTTGCAACTACCTTGGACTTGTATCAGAAACACGTATGTGTCCAAACCAAAACTTAATTTGGAAAGGATCTTTGATTTACGGTGTCCCGTGGAAAGGCATCTTCCTTTAAGATGTCCGAAATCTGTGAGGCAGTAAAAGCTAATTAAAAACAAAATTTCTGAACAGTTTAAGCAGTGAAGGTACATAAATGAAAGCCTCCTGAATGGTTAGCTCTCCTCAAGGCTTCTGAAGAGAAGAGCAGTCTTCTGCTCCTGCCTTTACTACTGTCCTGCTGGGCATCCCTGGGGAAACTGGTGCACAAACAAGTGCTTTTCCTACATGTAAAATGGTGATAATGACACTCACCTTTGTAAAAAGCTTTAAAAACTGGGGATGAAAAGCATTATAGAAGAAGTATTATTATCGTTGCTCCTAGCAACTAGCAGCCTGCTTCCTGACAGCTGCAAGAGCAATTCTCAAGTGACAAAAATCCCAGCCCTAATTTCCTTTTCACCATTTTCATTTGTGAATCTCTAGCTTTCACCTCTTCTTCCGCTAGTAAGTGCCAGTTCTGTACTTCTGTGAGGCAGTCTGGGAGGGTCATTCTGCTTCCTGCTGCTGGAAGGAAAGGAAGGCTGTAAGGATCCTAGACTGGTTTTTTGATCCTGTGCTGCTCCGAAGATGTTCTTGCCCTGCCGTAACAGATCATAAACTGTTTCTAATGTAGTCTAAATGTCTACCAGTAACTAAACAGTAAATTGAAGGACAGAACTATAAGCAGCGAACAACGTTATGATTATTTTACTTCCACCAAAAATCAAAACCTGCTTTTGTGCAGGCTTACTTTATACAGCCTGTCATTCTCTTTTGAGAAGTGATGGGAGAAATGCTTGGCACACTGACTCTAAAAGCAAAAGCTTTTTAAAATTATGGAGTTCATTCCAAGCTTGATGAAGGTATATTAATATGTGTTATGACAGGAGCTGTGTCAAATTCCATGGTAAAATGAATAAAATCAGGATTATGCTCATATTGTAAGTCACAGGACTGCTCTGGAAATGTATTTCCTGCTAAAACAGTGCACAGCAGCAAGAGGAAAAAGACAGTGATTTGTGAGAAGACATTGTCACTTCTTCAGCTTTTACTGGTGATCTGGAATTTGCTAAAACATATTCTGATGAATTTTTCTGAAGTGGGCGAATGGTGTTACAGAGTGCTTTGCTTTGAATGAGAATGATGTGGGACAGGGACTAAAAGGAAAGAAGCAAATATTCCTGGATTTTCTTTGCTGCATGGTGCTCTGTGACAGCCAGTGGACTGATTCTACAGAGGCACTCACTTTCCCTGCAGAAATAATGTCAACATGATTTCTTTGGAATGCAAGAGCAGTGATATTCACAACACTCCCTTCTGCGTTTCTATTTCTGTGAGATTTTAATGAAGATGCAAAATCCCAAATTTGGAAGCCATTTTTAAGTGAAGTTCAAGCCAGATCCCTCCTACTTTGAATTATGAACTGAAACTGAACCAAAGAGTAAAATATAACTTCTAACAAAAATATCAGATTGGTTTATGTTCTTTGGTTTGCACATAGTTGAAAATGTACTCTAGTATGTTTTTTTCTCTTAAATGGGTATCTATCTGAGCAGAAGTGGTACCTAAGGGTTTCTGTTTGTTAATCTTACAAAGTCAGGAGTTTTTTAATATATGCATGTGTATACATTCCCTTGTACTTATAGACAGTCATATGCATACAGGTAACATTCATGTTATGATCTTGAAAAATTCTTCTAGATTACCTCTCTCCCATTCATCTTCCCATAGCAGAGGCAAAAATATTTAACTTCCACATCCTCCTTTTTTTTCTGGGTTTTGTTTTTTTTTTTTTCTTTCTGGAACTGCCCAAGTTCATCCACAAATTCAATTAGAAAACATAGCATGTAAAAATACTCCAGTATGCAATGACCCAAATACTTATATGTTCTATCTGTCTACTTAGCACAAGCAAGGAGTGAAGTGTGAATGTGACTTCAAAATACAACTTTCAGTGTATGTTAGACCATTAGACATTGAAATGCCTTTGGTAGAGCAGAAGGCATTAATGCCTGTTGTCACCAATGCATAAGAAAAGGCACTGCAGGCTCATCTATCCTGAAAAAAAACATTTTATGAAATGACTAAAAAATTTTGCCATCTTTGTGTATGGCAGTCATTGCACTTAATTGCTTAACCTGTCGTAATGAGGAGTCTCTTTCAGCATTTCACTGAAAGATGGAACCATCTGTAGGAGATTGTTTCCAGCACCATTTCTTATTGATAAGACTGTTTATCTGGATAAGCTTGTAACTCTGAGGATGTTAAAACAAAAAATCATTTAAAGTGAAAAGAAATATAAATTATGTAAATAGTAAAAAACAACACATTCATCATATATTCCTCCTTTTATTTTTCTTTTCCCCCTATGCCTTCAAGATGGAATGGATTTACTTCTTGGGGTTTTTTTTCTTGAAAAATTCACTTAGAATGTTTCAGTGTTCATTTTTGCTCCTTTTCACTATTTTTTTTCAGCTTATTTGCTCTTAACCCTGGGGAGAGCCCTCTCAAAATCAATTTAAGCGTATTTGGAATGATGACTAAATCCCGCAGTATTTCCTTAGGAATTAGTAAGTTTATCTTGGCCCCTAGCAGTCACAAGTGGTTTTTTTTTTGGCTGGTCATTTCTCTTCAGACCTTCAAAAGACACAAAAAAGAAATATGCATTCTTAAACCATCGAGCTATACACCGATGTCTTGTTACTACATCAAATCCATGTACATGGCTGCCACATGGCTGCAGATTATTTTGACTTTTTTGTGTCATGAAAGTTTTTTGTTTGCCATGTAGCTTTGCATACCTGACACACAGCTCAGAGTGAGCTGTGTCAGGTGCTTATTTGGAACCCCAGTCCCCCACACGCACACACATCTCCCCCCCCATATAGTAGTTCAGTGTCAGAAAACATGAAATACATCCTCGGGGAAGGCAGAAGAATATGGTAGAGGGATGAAATAAATAATAGCAAAGAGATATTTTAGACAAATAATATGAAAGTCAACATTGTAGAAAGTGAAACATTAGACAGGCATGTGTTCCTATGTCTGGGTGAAGTGACCTTATGTGTGGCCTCTTCATTATCTTTTTGGTAAGAGATGAGTGTCTCAGTAGTCATAGAATCAGAATCATAGTCCACATATATTGCTAATTTTTATCTTAATTTTATTTCTGAAAAGATCTGAAAAATAACTAATGTTGATGTTAAAAATGAAAATGCTATGGACAGTGTACATCCTATGTTTTTGACGTTTTTGAATCTTTTTCATACATTTGAGTTTTGTTTTGTTTTGTTCTTTTTTTTATATACATGTGGAGAAACCTTGCAACTTTTTAAGTTAGATACATGTAGTTCACGTAAATTCCTCTTATTCTGTGCTGTGGAAAAAAAATGTGCATTGCATAAAAACTGATCCAGAAAATGGATTTTAAACACATATATATACTTGAAGATTGTCATTAAGGCTTTAGAAAATATGCAAATGTGTGCAATTCGTTGAAGGAAGATAACATCAACATCTTTCATAAAATATTAGTTGGACTTTGTTTTTATTGCTTGGCTCACTTTGACTTAAAAAAAGCTATTAGTAACATGTCTGATTTGCCTAATTGCCTCAAAACCACAAAATAAGAGTAGAATACAAAAGCCGCCTTTTCATTATTGATGTTTGCTTAATTATTCCATTAAAAAAAATTTATAGTTTTCATATCTACAAGAATAAACCTTCATGGTTCCTTAAATCCCCAGGCATATATCTGTTAAATCCTCTCACTGGTTACTTCATATAAGAAGGTGTGTGGGAGAAAGCGTCACTATGAGAGTATATTATTATGCCATGTAATAATATACATTACAAGTCATTTATTTATAATCATTTTTTCAAAATAACTTTTCTTTTTTCTGCACTACATTCCCATTAAAGAGCACTCTCTCCGTATTGTTCTCGCACAGTACATTTCAACCACTATCCAATATAAGAAGATGCATTCAAAAAATTGAGTATTGCACAATATGCAGTTCCATTTGTTCAGAAAGATTGGACAGTGCCTTATAAAAAACAAAATACATGAGTAAGTAGTGTTTTTATAAATACTAGTTTATTTAATAAAAATACAAAAATATAAATATACATATATATAAAAATATCATGATGAATCAACACACAGACATTCTTTAGCTCAATAAATATGGCAGTAATGTTAATATTTTTAAAGTATATTTTTGAGAATAAGTTACAATGCAGGTGCACAAGGTCCCAGCTATTAGGAAAGGTAATGCAAAGCAATTAAAAAAAATAATTAAGTTTCCATCTCATTATTAAAGGCACAAAAAGCCTTTTCATTGTCTTTTCATTGTCAATAAAAACCTTTCATTAGAGGTTCCTAGGCAAAAAGGATGAATTATAGATTTTTTAAAATCTAAATCATTCATATTCATTCACGTTGACTTACTGATTAAGCAAACCCTTACTAAGACAACACCTATTTTTTTGTAAATTTTTTATTCCCAAGTGAGAGTAGGCCACTTTATCTAATGACATAGACATGAATTCCACTAACACTGACCAGGTCACAGATTACTTTTTTAGTCTCGGTCACTGTCCTCTCCACCATACATATCTGCTAGTTTTTTAAATCGAGGGCCCCAGTCACTGAGGTAATCATAGTCTTGGTTGCCCTCCGTAGTAAGTGATTCCAGGGAGCTGAGTGAATTTGCTATGGAATCATTTCCTTCATAGGCATATGTTGCTAGAGAATCATAAGGAGGGGCAGCTGGGTCTAAATCATTTTCTTTTAACCTTCTATGAATAAAATCTTGGACATCAATGTTTTCCCAAAGAGGCGCAGTCCGTCTTATCTGAAATATAGTTTCTGGGATAACATCTCTTCTCATCTTACTTTCTTCCCTCGCCTCTGGATTTCTCAGTGTGCCAATGTCAAAAGCCTGGGTGTCTTCTTCCCCACCTCCTTCATCGTTGTAGGTCACAATGTTGTCCCGAACATCATCCTTCGAGATGATCAAGGGTTCTTTCTTCCTCTGTCTCTTGAGAGCTGTAAACAAGACAACTAATACTGAAAGGAAACAAAAGATGATTGAAGAAATCAGAAGTTAGAAATTGAACAAATGAGAAAAATATTTTGCAATAACTGTTGAACTGGAAAAGTTTTAAGGCTGGGTTGGGATTTTACTGGGAAAAATAGGGATAAAAGCTATCTTCAAGTTGAAGGTAATAAGGAAAAATATGAATTATTTTATAGCAGTCAAAAACTTACGCTTTTTTAAAACTATGGGAGCAATTATTAAAGTATCTGTTTGAAATAAATATGCAATTAAGATGAAGTTGAAAAGCAGATGATGTCTTTAAAAATATCATCCTACTAGGGTTTGACTTTGATTTTAGTTTTGTGAAGTACCACCTTCCTGGCAGTCACTAAGGGTGATTTTATCAAGTGTAGTTGATTCTCCTTGTCAAAAGTAATTCACATTCTTGAAAGCTAGTAATTTAGGTATTCCTAAGCGTCCAAATCACTTTTGAAAATAGGATCTACTGGTCCTTCTGAAATATAAGAACCTGAAGACCTTCAGCTATCAATATTATTGACAAAACTATTTTTGGCTTCAGTGACTGCAAGAATTGAAATCCAGCCTTTGATACTAAAGATTTCTTTCTTAAAACATGATTCCTCCTAGTTTAAGAAATGTTAGTTGAATAACTCTTCCTTTTGGAGAGGTAAGGATTGACACAGAAGTGAACTTCTACAGAGGGAGATGAAATACTGAAGTTTAGGTTTGTAAATACATGCTGGTTCCTAAATGCTATTGATTTCAGTAGGAATTCAATGCTTAAATGCATTGAAAAATCTGTCCCTAATCCCACTAGCTGGGGTAATTGGAGAGGCCAACAAGATTCTCTGCAAATGAGACATAACAGTGGTTGCCAAACCACACATTACAGCAGTGCTGAGCACTTTTGGTGAGTCTTAGGAGGCAAAGTTTTTATTCTGATTGACGTGAGTACTGGCGAATAAAAGGGAAGATTGGACATGCTGTGGGTAGGGAGAGGGTATCTGAGATCTTTCACATGCCATGGCACAACCCTGTGAATGTAAAAGCTCATCTGTTTTGCTTGCAGGTTTTGTATCTGTTCAGGAGCCATCCTTTTCAAGTTTTCCTGATGCTAGACAAATAGATGCTAGACAAATAATGATGCTAGACAAACACTTATATATGTTGCCTCATATATAACAGTAGGCTAGATCACTGAAAGATGAAGAAGTGTCTTTCACAGCCGGGTACTTAAATATGTCTCTCCTACTTCAGGCATGTTGACACTAGTCTACTACTCTAACATACATCTTGTTGAACAATTAAATAAGGTGTCAAGAATCACACCAGCTGTAGACTAACAATTTTGTTTAGATGTTTTTCAGTCTTATGCTACTCTGGCTTCAGCTGTATCTGTAGGACTAAGTAGGGTCTCTGACCCTGGTTCTAAGAGACACAAAGTGGTCACACTTGTTTTGCACAAGGTATGGCACTGGTCCCTTAGCCTGTTCTCAGTCTCAAGTGCTATCATGGTCCTAAGGCACACTTCAATTTTTGTTTTCAGTTCAATATTTCTGTGCTAAAGCATTGCAGCCCATCAGAGTCATGTCTTCATAGTGAGTGAGTAAGGCTATGTGTTTCATGGTGGACATTTCATGGTCTATGTTGAGACATGAAAGACAGCTCTGAAGACGAGGAGCCTGCTGACATGGTGTTAAAAACTATGCAAGATGTAGAGCAAGATCTGGAAAAGTTTGAAACATAATTACCTGATGTAAATGGTGCCCTTCAAGTTCTGCTGCTCAGACTATGCCTGGGCAACATCCAGTATGGACAATCAGTTTGTCAGAGATAAGTAGCCTTCCTTCCCTATGCCCAGCAATACAGGTATAGCTCCTACATACTGCCTTCCTCTTACTAGCCTCTGTGGTCCTCTGAATATTTACCAGACCTAGCTTGAATCCAGTCTAAAAACTGAAAAAAAGAATTATATGAACTGACACATGTAATTTTGTCACTGCAGCCGTGGTAATCTCTGTTTGCTAGGGTAGGTGGAAAGGGAAGGAGGTTTTCCACAGGTTTTGACTGGAATGGATAATGGAACTTTTAAGGAGGCACTTCTCTTGTAAGCAAAACATGCAAGTTGCAAGTTTTATGTTCTTACACCAGGTTATGAGCTAGCATTTATTCTAGCTGCTTCATATATCACCTCATCTCTCCAAGCATACATCTAACTTCTGTGCTCACACTTTATTTAATCAGCTGCTCTTGCTACCACTTGCAAGCAATTGAAGATTTCTCTTCTATGCTTTTGAACTACTTCCTGAGTATAAAATTACAAATAATTAATGATTAAATAGCTAATATAATTGATAATTTTTTTAATCACCACTAAGAAATTTGTCACCCAGCTTCAGGAATTTGATTTTAAAGTCCTTTATCTAAATTAAGATCTGTTTATAACGTAAAACATTACTCAAATATGCATACTCTAAAACTGACCCTAGATTTCCAAATTTATTTCATCTAAATAGTCTAAATAAATCTTAATAGTCTCATTATTTTTGTACATTCTTCTGAATAGTAATGATGACAAACAGTCCATAGTAGCTCCCTCTCCCCTCTTCCAGCTTCTTTTCCATCTTAGGAAGCAGTTGAAAAACCACACATCAGATACAAAATATTGTTCTGCAGGGCCATGTGAACAAGAAGTTAAAGAATATCAGGGGTCTAGAAGTGACCAGACCTTTGCCTAGCCAATTAAACCTCTTGTCACAGTGCTTACCTAGCAGGATAATGATGCAGAGTAGAATGGCAACCAGTGCCCCTGTGCTGAGTCCAGCAGGGAGGAGCAAGGCCTCAGTGTTGCAGGACTGCATGTTCCCCCAGCTGTCGCAAGCACATACTCGAATGGTCAGCGTGCTAGTGCTGCTCTGGATTGGGTAGTCGTTATCAAATATTATGATTGGGAGGAGATAGGTACTCATCTTACTACGGCTGTATCCATTTCTTCTAGTCATAATTCCTCCCTT